GAGCGCAATACTAGACTGGCACCAAGATCTTATCAATTGACAGATAACAGCAACCAATGTACACACAAGCAAATTTAAATTTTGAGTATTTTTTCAATGCTTCTTACCATCTTTGTGTGGCTTTATAATCTTCTGTTTTAACCATTTTTATAAGATTAGATAGCCGGACAGTCTGTACTGTATCAGACATGTTATCGCTATGTGCCGACTGAGTGATATGATTGGTTAATAAACATATTGAAGGCAACCTGTGATTGGTTGAAGTACAAACCATATCAAAATAACTGAAAATAGTTTTAATATACGCTTTTACCGTATTATATATATAGGTATTAAGTACTTTTGAACACAGTCAAATTGGAACATTGGCAATAAAAGTACACAAAAACAATGTTTCTCAATTTTCCTTTATTTTTAGTTAGACAATATTCATTAAAATATTTGAAATATCATTCAAATTGAACAAATCTTTTATTGTGAAATTTATAAAAAACAGATATGTTAAATACTTTTGCTATACACTGTGTGTATATATATATATATATATATATATATATATATATATATATACATAGATAGATAGATAGATAGATAGATAGATAGATAGATATATATGTATATATATATATATATATATATATATATATATATATATATATATATATATATATATATATATATATATATATATATATATAAGAAGTGACAATGGTAAAACCTATGCCAACGTGTTACGTCCTTTGAATAATGTTATCAAGGTATATGTAGAAGTTTTATTTAGAAAAAAGTAAGCGCTGCGAAAAATAATGTTATATTTTCCGATTTGTAATAGAGTACGTTCTAAATTGTTCGAAAATCACCATCCGTTTATGAAAAGGTAAACAAAATATGAAGAACGCTAAGTGACGTAAATATTTCGCACGTTGTTTATAGGCAATTGAATAAATGTTGTTGATCTTGTTATCCTAATTGATTACTTATTTATTTATTTATTTATTTATTCATTTATTTATGAAACCGCGGGTCGGCCGTTTTCCTTTAGAATTTTACGATCAAACCGGGATATGTTCAGCTAAGAAAAAGAGTATGTCGTTTAGATAGATAAAAACATAATTTACAGACGTAGATAGAGAGGCAGAACGACAGACAGAACTTCATTTTAATCAGCCAGATAGATAGATAGATAGATAGAAATTACCATTATTCAGATAGATAGATAGATAGATACATGGATAATAATTACTTTCAATCAGCATGACAGACAGATAGATAGATAGATAGATAGATAGATAGATAGATAGATAGATAGATAGATAAAAATTACCATCAATCAGCTAGATAGATAGATACATAGATAATAATTACTTTCAATCAGCTTGACAGATAGATAGATAGATAGATAGATAGATAGAAATTACCATTAATCAGCTAGATAGATAGATACATGGATAATTACTTTCAATCAGCTTGACAGACAGACAGACAGACAGACAGATAGATAGATAGATAGATAGATAGATAGATAGATAGATAGATAAAAATTACCATCAATCAGCTAGATAGATAGATGCATAGATAATAATTACTTTCAATCAGCTTGACAGATAGATTGGTTGCTAGATAGATAGATAGATAGATAGATAGATAGATAGATAGATAGATAGATAGATAGATAGATAGATAGATAGAAATTACCATTAATCAGCTAGATAGATATATACATGGATAATAATTACTTTCAATCAGCTTGACAGACAGATAGATAGATAGATAGATAGATAGATAGATAGATAGATAGATAGAAGTTACCATTAATCAGCTAGATAGATAGATACATGGATAATAATTACTTTCAATCAGCTTGACAGACAGACAGACAGACAGACAGATAGATAGATAGATAGATAGATAGATAGATAGATAGATAGATAGATAGATAGATAAAAATTACCATCAATCAGCTAGATAGATAGATACATAGATAATAATTAATTTCAATCAGCTTGATAGATAGATAGATAGATAGATAGATAGATAGATAGATAGATAGATAGATAGATAGATAGATATAATCTAATTATCAAATATGACACATTCCAATGATTGGCTTGTATTCATATTTTTCGTGCAAATCCCAAGTGTTACTGTATAACATTTTTATAGTCATAATATTTGAAAAAAAATCACCCAAATCTTGTTAGCCATTTTTTCTTCTTTCCTGCCTAATATACAGAAAGAACGTAGCATCTGTCGCTAAAAATCGATGCAATGAAGTTCTGCAAAAATTGTGAAACTGACATAACTAAATTAATAAAACCAACGACGGTTCGTGAAGTAATTAGAAAGTAAATATTTCTTGCAATTAATTATAATGGAAAGAAAGTGAGAAAGAAAGAAGATAAGCGAAAAAGAAAAAATGAAAAGCGAAAGTAATCGAAAATAAAATAAATGATGGAAAAATGATGGAAAAACATGAATTAAAAAAAGAAAACAAAAGAATTAAAAATGAAGCTGAGTAAACACAAAAAGAAGAAAAATAAGGAGAAAAAATAGGGAGTAAAATGAAAAGATAGAAGGAGAGATGAAGAATAAAAACAAGAAATAAAGAAAGAACAGAAATAAATCATGAACTCACAAAAATTCAGGAAAGAAAGCATTCATCTGAAAAAAGAATGAAGAAAGAAAAAAAGGAAGAAAGAAAAAGAAAGAAAGAAAGAAAGAAAGAAAGGAAGAGGAGGAGGTGAGCGGTGAGATAATAAGAAATCGAGAAAAGAAAACACGGCGCGGAGAACGAAACAAATAGAGACTGAAATAATATCTGCACTGGAAAATCTGCAACTTCTACGGGAAGAAAACTGAAAGAAACTGGTATGAACACCACCCAGACCCGGTTACGGAGATAGGACCTGTTACAATTCTATGGGACTACACAATACACACTGACAGAACAATCAAGGCCAACCGCCCAGATATTGTTATTAAAGACCATAAACAAAAACGGTGCCTCCTTATTGATATGGCAGTCCCTGCCGACTGCAATGTATCTTTGAAGATATTCAAAAAGTTGTCAAAGTACAAGGACCTTGAAATAGAAATCTCAAAAATGTGGCATATGGGAACATCAACAATCCCTGTTGTAGTTGGAGCCCCAGGACTGGTTGGAAAATATTGCAGTAGACAAATTGAAGGGATTTCTGGAAGTCCATGCCTCAAGGAGATACAAAAAATTGTTCTGACAAGTACAGCCCATGCTTTACGAAGGGCTTTATCTATGTAATATTTTTTTGTCAATGGAAAGTGTCATGATGCCATTTCTAACCTTAGGTCCCTGGGCGGGACCCGGAAAGAAATGTGTAAACGCCAGAAATCAAAAAAATAAAAATAATACTAATACTACTACTACTACTAATAATAATAATAATAAGTAGAAATTATCAAGAACACATAATGAAAAGATGTTGTTAGCTCAAAATGCAGATTGCTTGATAAATATCCAGAAACAAATGACCATCTTGTATCAGGTTGCCCGGTATTAGTACTCACTTAATATAAAATCCGGCATGACAGATTGGGTAAATATCTGCACTGAAAAATCTGCAACTTTTACAGAAAGGAAACTGCAAGAAATTGGTATGAACATCACCCTGACCCGATTATTGAGATAGGACCTGTAATAATTTTATGGGACTTTACAATTCACTCAGACCGAACAATCAAAGCTAATCGCCCAGACATCGTGATTAGAGATCGCAAAGACGAAATGTGCCTCCTTATTGATATGTCAGTCTCTGCAGGCTGCAATGTGTCTTTGAAAGACTTCAAAAAACTATTAAAATACCAGGACCTTGAAATCGAAATCTCAAAAATGTATCACATGAGGATATAAAAAAATCCATTTCTAGTTGAAGCCCTAGGATTGACTGGAAAAGATTCCAAAAGACCCATTGAAGGGATTCCTGGTAGACCATTCCTTAAAGAAAAAAAAAAGATCGTTCTCACTATTCCACCCCACACCTTACGAAGGGATTTTTCTATGTAAAATATGTCTGCATTTCTTTCTATTTTTTTTTTTCAAAATTGCTCAATGGAAAATTTCATGATACCATTTTTGACCTTAGGTCTCTCGTCAGGACCCGGAAAGAAATGAGAATACACCAGAAATCGTCGGAAATAATGATAATAATAATAATAGTAGTAGTAGTAGTAGTAGTACTAGTAGTAGTAGTAATTAGATAGGTTTCCGTGTGAAAATGATTAGAATATTCGAATGAAAAATGAGAAAAATATTTGAGAAATTGCAATCGGGGGAAAAAGGAATTAACCTGAAAAGGAAAAAAAAATAGATCAATAATGGCGGAGGAGAAAGAAAGAAAGAAAGAAAAAGAAAGAAAGAAAGAAAGGAAGAAAGACGCAACGAATGCAGAGAACGCAGAAAGAGAATTATAAAGAAATAAAATGGAAATAAAAAACCTGAAGGAAAGAATGAGAAAAGGGAAGAATTTAAAAAGATGGATAAGAAGAAAAGAATGGTAAGTGATTTAAGAAAAATATCAGTATGTTAATATCTCGAAGACACAAAATGGTTACTGAGCGTTAGAGAATATGAAAAAAAAAACTAATATTAAGTAAGAGAACAATAAAAGAACAAGAATTAAGAAGATAGAAGATAACGATGACATTGCATTTAAATTCCCCCCAAGTAAGGCACTAAAGCTATTAAGACATAAATGGGTTACTGAGTGTTAGAGAATATGAGAAAAAACTACTAAGGAGAGAGAACAAAAAAAGAACAACAATTAAGAAGACGGAAGATAACGCTTGACATTGCATTTAAATCTAAAATCTTTAAGATCAAAGTTGACTTCGAAGCCGGAAGAGAATTCCACAAACAAAAAGTGATAGAGAAGAAACTATTAACTTAAAACTTACGGTTACATCTGCCATTGGAAATGTAAAATGATGAGACCATTCCACCAATCTACGAGAACTACTCTTTCAGTATGTTCATATCTATCTATCTATCTATCTATCTATCTATCTGCTCTATCTATCTATCTATCTATCTATCTATCTATCTATCTATCTATCTATCTGGGTCTGCTCATATCTATCTATCTATCTATCTATCTATCTATCTATCTATCTATCTATCTGGGTCTGTTCATATCTATCTATCTATCTATCTGGATCTGTTCATATCTATCTATCTATCTATCTATCTAACTATCTATCTATCTATCTATCTATCTGGGTCTGTTCATATCTATCTATCTATCTATCTATCTATCTATCTATCTATCTATCTGGGTCTGTTCATATCTATCTATCTATCTATCTATCTATCTATCTATCTATCTATCCGTGTCTGTACATATTTACGCCAGTCTACTTATAAGTATGTAGGTATGCATGTATGCATGTATGTATGTATGTATGAATGAGCGGGTGGTGTAATAGATAGGGACTCGGGAAAAAGTCACAGAGCAGAGTACGAATTCGTTACATTCACATATGCACTAATAACCTCGGGAAGATATGAATCCATCTCTTGTCCACCTTGCTAGGTTTTACATAGTAAGGTAGGCAAGACTCTCTAGCCGTGTTTGGGAAACCAGTTTAGGAGAAATAATACACTGAAGTCAATATCGCATGTGGCGCTAGGCCATTGTCATTTGTAGGACGATTACTAGCCAAAGGCGAAACTTGACAATGATGGCCATACCCGTTCAACGAGTCGACAGCCAAATGCATGTATGTATGTATGTATGTATGGGCGTGACTGACACACACACACACACACACACACACACACACACACTGTTTTGTACTTTAAATAAGAGAAAATTATTATACACTGTTAAAAAAGTGAGACATGATATTTTTATTAGAAATTTTATTATGACAAAAAGATAAAAATCATTTTATAATTAAATTTTGCTCTCGTCAAAATATCCTCCTTTAGCCTTGATTACTGCAGCAAAAACTTTTGTCATTCGTTGCAAAATTTTCTCAAATCATAAGTTTGATAATTGATTCAATTCTTTTTTTTGCAATCACTGTAAGAATTTTTTTTCATTTTTCTTTCACTCTTCTGTCAAGTACCTATGCTAATTCTGGTGGATGCTTCAGGCTTTTGAACTGTGGTGTATATATGGTAAATATGCTATGTATTTAGAGATTCTTGAAAAAATCCAAAGAAGAATCTGCAATGTTATCGATCCTGACATGGCATCTCAGTTTCAGTCACTTTACACCAACGTAACGTTGCTGCCCTAGGACATTTCTGTACTATATATATGTCTGTCTGTATGTCTGTATGGACGCGTGGTTCAGAGCGTAGAACGCTTGGCATCTGTCCATAACACCCAGATTCGAATATCTCCATCTTCGATTTGTTAGAGAGGTGACTTTTTGGGAGGATAGATAGATAGATAGATAGATAGATAGATAGATAGGCAGGCATTCTGTCGGATAGTGCGTGAAAATTAAATCACGGGTTAAACCAAGCCTTGTGATCGAATTTATGTAGACGGAGCCGTTTGGAATCCGTCAAAAAGTTGTCCTAGAACGATGTCGCAAGTCATCGTGATCGAGGATTTGAGTGTGCTGTCGTTTAAAAAAAAATGCCCACGTCAGATTATGCGTTTACTCCCAGAAACTGTAACTAAGATCTACTCAGTATAGTGGCAGTATAAATCACTATCTATCTACCTCAGTCTTCTTTCTTTCTTTCTTTCTTTCTTTCTTTCTTTCGTTAATTCTTTCTTTTACTATAACCTCCGCATCTACATTCTTCTCCATATATTCGTTTCGGTTTATTCATCCCACAAAATATTTAATATCTAAAAAAACACTAATGTAATTGTGTGGGTAATTCAGTTCGCCCGTCGTAAGCGCTGACAGAAATGGATTAAAGTACTTGCTTTCTTCCCAGTTCTCCGCTCTACCAACTGAGCTGTAGCTATTGACCTCTTCTCTTATTCTCTCGTTAGTACGCACGTACGTACGCCGTCACACCAACAACGTGTTTTCTTCTGTCCCGTCTTCCTCACAGACTCGCTATATATGCCCGCGTCGGGGGCAACTAAAATTTGCATACGAGACTTACTTCTCGTTCGCCTGAGACTTCCGATCTTATAAATTTACGCTGGCTTGAATTCTTAGTCTTTTTTATTATTATTTTTTTTTTTTCGTTGTACGCCTGCCCGCAATATAAGAGTTTCGGAATAATTCATTTTTGCTTTTAACGCCGGTCGCGATCTTTCAACAAGACCTGACACGCGAAGCAAATTCTCTTTGCGGGAGATAAGCCTTCTTGTTCCTCACAAATTGAGTTTTTTTTCCCCACGTTTTCAGAAAAGACGTTTAACCATCTTGACAAAATGTTTTTGGTAAGAATGACTGATAAAATCATTTGAGTTATTCAGCTACAATAGAATAGGTTAAAATTTTATTGTGTCAGCTCTACTATGTCTTGCTAACTGAGCAACGAAGAGAGGAAAAAAAGATCATTCAGGTCTTCAGTAATGGTACCAACATTCATAATCTGGCTTTCACCTTCAAAGTCTATTCAAGAGCCATCAAGAGAACGGTGAATAAGATTAACAAAGAGGGAAGAGTACAGAGGAAAACTGAATCAGGAGGTCAAAACAGGATGAGGGATCATTATTTCAACTTAGAACTAAAGAGATCCATTAGAAAAGATCCAACTCAATAAAACATTTGGCATGTGAGCGAGTTTCAGCTATGACAGTCTAAAGAGCGGTGGAAAAAGACTTGAAAATGAAATCGTACGTGAAACGTTTGAGGCAACTTGTTAGTAAGGATAGTAATTCAGAAAGTAAAAAAGGGCGAAGATCATTTTGAATAAGTTGGAAAATGAACCTGGAATATATATATATATATATATATATATATATATATATATATATATATATATATATATATATAAAATTTCATCTTGGTAAAATATAATTCACTGCCATGCGTGATACACGCTCAGGCGATCATGTATCTTTCGATACATGACTGACGAGGAGATTTTTTCCCCGCAGTATGTTGCCATTTTTTTCTGCAGTAGACCAGTTGACATCCAACGTTATAAAACCCGGTCTGTCCTGCTATTTATCCAAAGCTGTGGTGAGAGAGAAGAAGAGGATTCATACCTTTCCGAAGTGAATGTAATGGATTCGAGTGCAATTCGAACTCGGTACTCTGATTCCTCAATCCGAGTCTCCCGCGCACAGTAGTAGCACTGCAAATGTAAACATAGTAAAGAGAGTTTCAAATGGGCAGATGATTTCAAGAGTAGTAGAAAAATTTCAAATTTTCTTTTTCAGGTACTAGAAATTTTTGGCAACACCTATTTATTTATTTGTTTAAAATTTGTTGACGTTATCGGTAACGTTTCTGTCAAAATATATAAACACCCCCCACCCCCCCCAAAATAGCAGCCATAACTTCAACAATACTAAATACTGTAAGGATTTCAACACGCGTCAGCTTGTTGCAAAAAAATCTGATAAATGAATATTTCAGACAACTCCCGAAAGCGAAGACGCAAAGATGGAAATGATATATGCATTTATATATTTCAAAAAGGCTGATACGAAAAAAATTATGAAAGATAAAGGAACAATGTGCAACGTTCAGTCTATTTTTTATACTTTGTTTCAGTCTATTTTTTACTGTGTGAAGAAGAAATCTTTGGCAACTGTAAACAGATGTAAAATTACTAAAAAATTGTCAGCTTATGAGTAGATGTTTTAAATGTTTCATACTGCATATTCAACAGATCAAAACTGGCCCCATTGTAGCCGGAACCCTAAAGGAGACAAAAATGAGTGATGCCCCACGTATTAATATTTAACAAACCTTTCTTATAAATATGGCAAGTAGCCTAATTAGAGGAGGTTTCGCGTAGTATTTGATTTATTCAAGTCTTTCCGTTCTATGTATGAATATTTAATAAACCTCTTTTTGTGTTTTCCTCTACCTAGTCTTCTGTTCCTTCGATAATCTCTCTTAACTACGGCTTTCCTAATTCTTTGCTATTTTGAATTAAGACGATATTGCAACAGATTTGAAAAGGATAAGATTATAGTAATCGGGGAAACATCCTAGATTTTTAAAATGATGTTCACCCTCGACAAAGCTCAAGAGCAACTCGAGGTAGTGAGTTACAGAGTAAGATACACAGTTTATGCGGCTATGTAGGGAAAACAAACGTTGACACTAGATTGTTTTGTAGAGTAAGACTCATACTGCGACTATGGACTGCTCCTACTTGCCACATTGGAGAAGGTTTTGAGTAGTATTTGATGGACTCAAGTCTTTTTCCGTTCTGTCTATGAGTATTTAATAAACTTTTTGTTGTGGTAGGATCCACCTAATTTGCATAGTGGAGTACCGACCATATAAATATGGGTTGGTACCGGGAAGACGGGGGGAGGAATCAAGAGATTCAATCCAGAGACTCTGCCCTACTGCGACTAAGTCAACACATTCCCAGGAACGGTCTTCCCAAGAATATACAAAAGACTAACTGTAAATATTGTGTACACTTTCTTGTTTCAATACATTTTGTTCTAAGTGCATTTTGTGTTGTATTATTATTCCATGCATTAGTCAAGTTTCAACACTTTTTCTTATGTGTTTTCCTCTACCTAGACTTATGTTCCTTCGATACTCTCTCTTAACTACGGTTTTCCTTATTCTTGGCTATTTTGAACAAAGACGATGTGGCAACAGATTTGAAAAAGATAAGATTGTAGTAATCGTGGGAGCATAAAGATTTTTACACTGGTGTCCCCCCTGGACAAGGCTCCAGAGCAACTCCAGGTAATGGTTTACAGAGTAAGATGCACAGTTTATTTGGATATATGGGGGATGTAAAGCTTGACCCTAGATTGTTTTGTAAATTATACCTACTACTATGACAAGGGACTATTCCTACTTATAAATATGGCAAGTAGCCATATTAGAGGAGGTTTTGAGTAGTATTTGATTGACTCAAGTCTTTCTATTCTATGTATGATTATTTAATAAACCTCTTCTTATGTGTTTTCTTGTACCTAGTTTTATGTTTATACGATACTCTCTCTTAACAACGGCATTGGCAATTCTTGACTATTTAGGACGTAGACAACATTACAACAGGTTAAGATTGCAGTAATCGGAGATGCATCCTTTTGGGAGTTGGTTCCACAGAGCAGCGTGCTTTCCTGGGGAATAGAAGGCCTTATTCAAGAAAATCCCTGTCCACATTTGTCGGCTACATAACATCTTTGGTTTCTCGTTGACGAATAGAACCACGAATAGGCAGCTATTTGTTTCCTATTCATAGTGAAAATGCTTACATCAAACTCTTGTATTTTTTCATTGTTTGAAATCACGGGGAAAAGTTAAAAAAAACAGGATGAGTAAAGGGAAGATGTTAAAAATATGAACCATCGAGCAATGGCGAAGGAACTGTGAATTTCAAGAAGGAAGTATTTCATAAATCTTCTTTAGGATTTCAAGGCAATCGAAGTGTCTCGTACCGACCAAGATGTGGTCACCCTCGGAAACTTCAACACAGGTGATACGCAAGCAGACCTGAACAATAAGAAAACTCAGCGAAAGAAGGCAATAAGACAAGAGATGAATCAATGAGTACAACTTGCTCATCCAAGTACCAGTCACTCTGAATATATCCTTCGCAAACATCGGCTGGCAGAGAATTTCAGCTAAGAAATCTTGGTTAAAAAAGCCATTTGGGGGAAAGATTAAATTGGTCAAAGCGGTATAAAGCATTGAGGAATCGGAGAGCCCAGAATAAAGAATACGGGTACTTGGAGTACGATCACTTTCAGTGGTGATAATCGCATAGAATTGCCCTTTAATAAGCGCGAATTTGTTAGAAAATAGGAAAACGAAGCGATCATTTAAAAAAAAAAATTAAGACGTACAAAATGCATATATTTTTGAAAATTCCTTTTTTTACAATGTAGCAATATTTGTGCTATGTTATAATGCATATTACCTAAACAATAATAATAATAAATATTTTTAAACATTAAAGTATATTTAATCACATCTCAATAGCTGTCGTGATCTGTTAGTAAAAAGAAAATGTATAGAAAGTGCTTTAACAGCTAGATTATCCTCAGTAAAAACAGAGAGGAACCCAGACGAGTCTGTGTTGAGGGGCAGAGTCTCGTCTGTAGTGGTTGACAGCTACCTGACCCCAGTTTTACGGGATCTATGCGGAATTTTTGGCCGAGGCTACAGGCTCGGATACCCCACAATAAACTCGGATTTGTGCCACATACAACCGCGTGGGGCAGTTAGTGAATATCGTCATTTGGATTCACTTTTTAGTGTGCTGGTCAAACTCTCTGCCTCCGGGCGGAAAGGATTCCCAGGCGAGGCTATGTCGAAGGACAGAGTCTGGTCTGGGAAGAGAGCTACCCGACCCTGATTTTTACGGGATCTACGAGGAAATTTTGGTCGATCCTACGGGCTCGGACATCCCATAATAAACTCGCCCTTGTGCCACATACGACTGCGTTGCGACGTTAGCGAATATCATTACTATTCAGATTAATTCCGAGTGTGCTGGACAAACTCAGCGTCTCCGGCAGAGAGGATTCCCAGACGAGGCTATGTCAAAGGGCAGCGTCTCGTCTCGGGAGACAGCTATCCGGCCCTGATTTTTACGGGTTCTACGGGGAAATTTTGGTCGATCCTACGGGCTTGGAATCCCACAATAAACTTGGCCTTGTGCCACATCCAACAGCGTGGGGCGGTTAGTGAATATTTCACTATACGGATTACTATTCGGATCACTATTCGGTGGTAAATATCCGAGCTAGCATTATCGAGCAAGTAATATTAGTGCGAGTGACGGCGTCTGATACCAGTAATGTTTAAGGGCGTACTATAGTTGTATCTGCGATTACAAAGTCTCTACGATAACGAGCATTACGAAAATGACAACAAGTATTCGTTGACATTACAAAAGTGGCAACGAGTATTCGTTGTCATCACAATAAGTAGATTCAAAGAATACAGTTTTCACAGAAAGCCTTCTACAAACCTTCTATAA